ATCAATGTAGCTCCTTTGGCCTAAAATTTGAAATCCACATAATTTTCTTTAGAACCCCAACAGGTAACACTGAATAACCTTGTTTGGCTATAAAGCCATATATAGTGCTGAAAAAAACTTTTTTTAAAGTTTGTTAGTTCAATAGATCATTTTGAATGGTGTATATATTAGAATTGTTGGTGATTTCAAAGGCACATACTATTCACATATTGGTGAATGCTGCCCATCAATTCTCATTATTCTACATATAAATGTACATTTCCATTGCACTGACTATTATGTATGCAGAAATTGGAGTAGGAAGCTATTTCTGCTTGCTGGAACTCCTGGTTCTATTATCCAAGAATTCCCGTAGGAGGTAAACATGCCAATTCTTAATTGTTTCTCAACTAAAACGTAGAACAGGATGTTTTAAAAAGTTTCTCCGTGTGCTCAAAAAGTCTTCAAAATTCTGTTTTAAGTGTTAATTTAATTTGAGGATTTCAATTTAATGGCAAGTAAAGCAAATTTTTTTGCTTATTTTGTTGTTTGTTGAAAAAAAATTAATGCACACTCTGAAGAAACTTGAAGCTTTTAAAAAGTTATTACTACATTTTGATGTCGATGTTCCTTTAAAGGAACACTTAAAAAACCATAACCACAGCATGCTGTAGTAGTTATATTACCAGGAGTGCCATGGTATCCTTCCATTGTAAGTATTCAATCCATTTTAGAATTGTTTAGCTTCTTACCTGAGGTCTATCGGCCTAGCTCATTGGCTGGTGAGACAGCTGATCACCAATAAACTAGAACCTGCACCACCGGTGTTAGCTGAAACCAAGGGCTTACAACTCCCCTGAACCCTGTAGTGAAGGCAGGGAGTTGTACCTGGAGGATCCCAGGTAAGAAGTCAAACTGTTCTATACTTTGCGGGAGGGGGGCACCAGTTGGGATGGATCTAGCGCCTAATATCAGTAGGGACACTTGTGATACGCTGTAGTATGGGGGTAGGAGCTGTAGTGTAGGGCATAGGAATTTCAGTGGTGCATTTGGGGCTGTAGTGGGGGGGGGGTAGGGACTGACATGGGGTGGATATGTGCTGTAGTGGATAATAAGGGCCTGTAAAAGGGAACAGTGGCTGTATTGGGGTGATAGAGACTCTAGTGGGGACTAGGAGTTGTAGTGTGGTGATAGGTGCTGGGTGGATAGGGTGCTAGTAAAGGATAGGGGCAGTAATAGGATAGGGTATGTAGTGTGGGAATACAGGGTTGAAGTGGGGGATAAAGGGATGACGTGAGGATGATCGAATCATGATTCCTGGTAGTCCAGTGGGAGATGTAGCTTGAATGCACCAGCAGTGGGTGAAGACAGCTCTTTCTGGTCGGCACTGGGGAGAGTATCAGAGCATTGCCATGATAACCTGTGGCAACACTTTGATAGATTGAGCAGAAAACGTGGTCTGTACCCACATGGTGTTCAGCCCAAGTTCTCCCTCCTACCACTGGTGAGTAACGCAGCCCTTGTTGGAGCAGGTCGGGGAGATCCCTTTATCTAACCTAGAGGTCTCAGTTTGCCTTCTCAGGGGAGCACTTGCCCAGGTGCCCCATTTCTGCATATGCCTCTGGCTGATAAGCTCTTTCACAATGCTTTTTCCCTGTTACAGAATACCCATCAAAAATGTGACCAAGATTTCTTACATTAATTTCTCATGCAAAAGGTTAAGATGCAGAGAGTACCTTGCACCAACTCTCATTTCTGGTACTAACTTTTTGTAAACTTAGCTGTATTTGTTAGACACTTGTGTTTGTGAGCCACGGTTTAGAAACAGCGAAGGAGGGGTTTTTACTTCCTCCTTTGATGCATCAGTTTTGTTCAACTCGTGAGGACACTGCACATAAAGGTGGGAAACATGTATATATCTCTGGAAAGAGCTGGGCTACAGCCATGTACGTGCGTGACCTGAGGCTCCACCAATCCCTGCAAACAGCCTGGTCGACAAAACATGACATTCAACAAGACAGTTATCAGTTTACAAAGCAGTTCCATTCCTCTTATGTGATAAGTGAAACTGTTTCCAGTGGATAAATACTTATCTCCTAAACTATTACCAGAGAGGGGTTTATGGCAAAAAATCAGACCGGTATGAATTATTTTTTATTGCAACCTTTTAAACTATATTATAAATAATTAGCAATAGTACAATAAAAATACTGGATACTTTTGGACTATTGTTACCCTTAAGGTAAAAAATTTACATGTTTCAATCAGCTGTGTTCAAGGGAACTATAACCATAATCACGTACACAGGGCCATATTGTGCTTCAGGTCACGGATTAGGACTTTGCTGACTTACACTCGGAAAAAAGCATTTCAAGCAGGTCATCTAAGGCGCACACTAGTTAAACCATTTCCTGGTTCTTTGTACAGCATTATCTCCATCAGGTCAGCTGAGGGTTTGATTTTTCTGCGGTGGCAACAAATCCTTAGCTTGGTCTCCAAATCCCCTGGCCATGTTGGCTCCAATTACGCAGGATGAAAGCTGATCAATCTTGTGTCTAAACACTTTAATGAGACTCTGTCTTTCATCACCAGCATCGCACAGATATTCACCCTGATTAATCCCCCCCTGGTGTGCAGAGTCAAGCAGAACAAGCACCTGTACCAAGAGAGAATCATTTTTTGCACAGAATACATCCATTTGGACATTTCATAGGGAGGACATCAGCCATGGGCCATGTTTTTCGATGCTGTTACATTGATCTGATCCTTGATGGAGAAAAGCACCAATATATAACATATTGTGGAAAAATGTGTCACACTCACCTTAATAGGCTATTTCGTTTAAAACTCAATTTCGCTAGTTGTAATAGCATTGCACCAATGGGACATAGTTATCCAGTGCTGGTACTTTCCCTGTAATGTAAAGACCACTAGCCGAGGCAATTATATAGTATTTCATGTATAGTAATTATACAGGGAACACTGATATTTAAAGGGATACTCCACTGCCCAGATCAAAATGACGGTTTAGTATAATTAAACCATGTATGCATTTTTTTCATTGGTGGCTTATATAAAAACAGGTGTCAAAAGCTGTCCTTTTCAATTCTAACCCCGCCCAGACTTTCTGTGGCTGTCCAATCACAGACTTCTCAATGCAGTTCAATGAAAAAGCCTGTTCCGAGTGTGGCCTTTGAATCTGCAACCAAGGAAGTGCCTTCCCCTGTGGTGGTTGAGTGAGTGAGCCACTCCTGGGGCAGAGGTGAGGTTCCCAAGCTTGGTTAATCTGTGGTGCCCTGGGATGACCGAGTGATATCTTGGATCCATGGTGCCAGGCTTTCGAGCGGGGGCTCGGTGGTTTCTAGTCAGGAGGTGAGTGGCTTCAGAGTGTGTTGCAGCTACTGTGGCTCTGGAAGGCATCTGGTTTCAGGTAAGTTATCCAGACTCATTTTTCCCAAAAAAGGAAAAGCCCAAGAGAAATAACATGCAGACATAACGAGGAACTAAAAAATAATTGTCATCGAGGAACCTACATTTGTCTAGAGCAGGGGTTGACAACCTAGATGTTGTGGATTGCATCTCTCATATTTCAGCCAAAATGTGGACTACATCTCCTTTAATGCTAAAATGCTGGCAAAGCATCAAGGGAGATGTAGTCCACAAGATCTGGAGTGCCGAAGGTTTATTTATAGGAACATAACCAGTATAGCTCGCTGTGGATGTGGGGAGCATCACCTGGCAGACCACAGGTAAGAAATCAAACCATTGAAAACAGTTTGACTCTTTACAATGGGAGGAGGGGTACAAGGACACTACTGGTACCATAACTACTACAGTGATATGTAGTGGTTGTGGTGTTTTGAGTGTTCCTTTAAGCTAATAGTCTGTGGGCCATATGCAAAGTGTTTTGATAATTTATAAAAAAAAAAAAAAAAATAAAAAAAAATTCTGCATTTCTGCCTGTCTATATGATGTACTGTCTTGGATCTGATCCATGTCTTTATAGGTATTGTAGATTCAAGTACTAAATGCATCAGCCCCATTCAAGCACTGGTCAAACGTCCAAGTTAATGCTGGGTTTAACCCAGTCAGCTTTCTTTGTGCTGCTGGCAAATGCTTGAGAGAAGGTGCAGGGGTGGGTTCCTTGAAATAAAGTGAAAACTAAATGTAGCGCTGTGGTGTTTGTGGGCTACTGTAACCATGATGCTCTGCCAGCCTGCAAAATCTGTAATGTCATGGTTAGCTATTGCTGGCCTAGAAAAGGAGGTCTTGTCACTGACTGATAGGAGGGTTAAAGGTGTGTACTGTAGTCTTTGCTGCCAGCCCAGTAGTGATGGGAGTGAGCGCAGGACTTCTCTTTTTGTATTTACTTTATATCACACAGCTTTGTTACAATGCTGCCGCCAACCCATGTGTTCCCTATTAAGGGTTAATAAGTATACAGGGGTGTATATAAAAAATACCCCTCTCTGTCTCATTAGAGATATCTTTGCCAGAAGCTCAAGGAAGCAGGCTGAAGGGTCAGTGTAGGACCCGCTTTAGGGGGGTCTGCCTTGACGTTGGCGGACGGGCATTCCCTCCAATGGCCAATGGAGCAACTAAATGACCTCCATTTGTCTAAATATACATAGGGATTAAGGAGAGAGCGCAGGTAACTTTTTCTTATTGAAGGGAAATAAGTTTGTTTTTATATAAACAGAGATCATGCTTTAAATGGCCTTCCAGGCACGGTGTAATATTGGGAATTCAATGATGCCTCTAGTGGACATATTTAGACAAAAGTTAGGCCTCCCAACAGGATGGACCATTCTACTAACCATAACTGCTTCTTGTCTGCATCAGTGTCACATGTTATGTGATTATTTGCCTAGAGCAGGGGTTCCCAATTTATTTTTCCTGTGGAACCCTTTGACATAGTATATCAACATCGTGGAACCTTCCCTCCTGAAAATAAAAATAAAAAATTGCACCGTTTTTTGTATGTGCCGGTGTGTGTAAAGGTGTGTATATCTGTGCTTGTATGTGCCAGTGTGTGTATCTGTGTGTGTGTGTATATCTGACACACAGATACACACACACACACACACACACACACTGGCACACAGATACACAAACCTTGACACACAGAGTGTATCTGTGTGTATGTATCTATATGTGTGTCAAGGTGTGTATATCTGTGTTTGTATGTGTCTATGTATCAAGGTGTGTGTATCTGTGTTTGTATGTGCTACTGTATATGAATCTGACACACAGATACACACTGGCAGATAGTGGCACACAGATACACGCTCTCACACAGATACACACCTTGACACACAGTGTGTATCTGTGTGTCAAGGTGTGTGTATCTATGTTTCAAAGTGTGTGTATTTTTGTTTGTATGTGCCGGTGTGTGTCGAGGTGTGTATATCTGTGTTTGTATGTGCCAGTGTGTCAGTGTGTATCTGTGTGTGTGTATATGTATCTGACACACAGATACACACACACACACACACACACACTGGCAGATAGTGGCACACAGTTTCACACTGACACACACCTTGACACACAGATACACACACTCAGATACACACTGACACACACACATCTTGACTCTCAAATACACACACACACACTCAGATACACACAGTGACATATACACACTTGCACCCACAGATACACACTGGCACACTCCGATATACACTCACTGACATACACACACACACACATGCACATACAAACACACTGATACACACTGGCATATACACAAGCAAACACTTAGATACACACAGTGACACATACACAAACCTTGACACACAGATACACACACAGACACACTCAGACACACATACTCTTTGACAGACACACATACACTCTCACTGACAAACACACATACTCTTTTACAGACACACATACAAACACCCGCCCAGACTCTCATTGATAAGAACAGATGCATTCTCACTGACAAACACATACACTCACACACTCACTGACAAGCACACATTCACTCTCACTGACAAACACACATATACTCTTTGACAAACACACAAACACATACAAACTCCCTAACAGACACACATAATTTTTTTTTTTAACCTTTTACTCCAACCAGCCCCCTTACCTTTAGGAGTGCTGGGTGGCTGGCATGGAGTCCCTGGGGTCCAGTGGGGCTGCTGGCATGGAGTCCCTGGGGTCCAGTGTAGCTGCTGAGCAGCTCGCATGGATTCCCTGGGGTCCAGTGGGGCTGCTGGCATGGAGTCCATGGGGTCCAATGGGGCTGCTGAATGGCTGGCATGGAGTCCCTGGGGTCCAGTGGGGCTGCTGAGTGGCTGGCATGGAGTCCCTGGGGTCCAGTGGGGCTGCTGAGCGGCTGGCATGGAGTCCCTGGGGTCCAGTGGGGCTGCTGAGCGGCTGGCATGGAGTCCCTGGGGTCCAGTGGGGCTCCTGAGTGGCTGGCGTGCAGGCGGGGGGGGTGTGACGAAACCAATCTCGCCACATTGCATTGGAGGAGCCTGGTTGCCCGCCTGCTGCCTTTGGATTATGGACCGGCAGCTAAAGGGTTAATTTTACTGTGCAGAAGGATTTATTTCTCCCTTTCTGCACAGCCGTTCGGTAGATTCCATCTACCAAACAAACAGTCTCTTTTCAGCCTCCCCAGAGCCGTGGGAAGCCGGCCGGCGACCTTAATTGGCCACCCAGAAGCTGGAGTGCGCCCTCCATTTACCTCCCTGAAGCCGCGGTTAACCGCGGCTTAACGAGCGTGTGCCGGCAATTGACCACCCAGTAGCTGCGGTTAACCGCAGCTTAATTGATTGTTACTGGGTGGTCGCGGTTACACTTAGCCGCCACACGATGGCGGTGTTCTGGAGCTCCCCGGGCAGCCAGCGCTTGTCTGCCCGGCTTTCATGCACCAAACCCGGACACTTTTACGTGCAGGCACCGCTGAACCTCCAACCACTGGTTCTAATTCGCACGGATTGAACGAATGCATGTAAATTCGGTATTTTATGTTGGAGGAATGTTTTAACCCAGATAGCTATGCCATGGAGCCTATTCGTGGAATTGAAGACTTTGGCTCCATGGCAATTAAAACTGTATTCGTGTGGTCTGAGTGCCATTCACTTAATAATGTGCACTCAGACCTGAGCTATCTGGGGATATGTTACATGTCTGTGTTTTATGTAGTAAATGTTACTTTGTGCATTTTAAAGTATTATGCTGGTTTTGTGTTCCCACGTGTGTAATGGAGTTTTGCCTTTGTCTTGGGAGATAATTGAGTTACTTCCCAATTATCTCCCAGGGCAGAGGGGAGGAAGCCAGGATGCATTGTGGGAATATACTGTGACTGTGTGTCCTATTTGTATACTTGTCTGTCCCTTGTCACAGTCTCCCATCTGGTCCCCTAGGGGAGTGTCCACCAGGTGGGAGACCTGCATAAAAGCTGGGCAGGTAGCCCTCATTAAACAGACCACTGCTTGACCCTCAACACGGAGCCTTGTCTCGTCTTTGGGGGGATTTACTGTATGCTGCTAAGGACTGATTGCCAGGAGTGTAAGCCGCTTGGGAGCTTTTCCTGTTCGTCTGGTAGCAGCAATTCGTATGGTTCCTGTTCGTGTATTTGGAGTGCTACCTTATTCCCTTGTATGCCGTTCGGGAGTTTGGAGCATTCACTTGTATGCAGTTCGGGAGTTTGGAGCATTCACTTGTATGCAGTTCGGGAGTTTGGAGCATTCACTTGTATGCAGTTCGAGAGTTTGGACCATTCACTTGTATGCAGTTCGAGTGTTTGGACCATTCCCTTGTATGCAGTTCGAGTGTTTGGAGCATTCCCTTGTATGCCGTTCGGGAGTTTGGAGCATTCACTTGTATTCAGTTCGTGAGTTTTGGTGATTCTACAGTAGCTGTGCCTGTCTCTGAAAGGGGATTATCGTCTAAGCGTTTTTTTCCCTTTTGTGCAAAACGGTCCGTTACAATTGGTGGCAAGCGGCGGGATCGTTCCCACAGACTACAGGACAGCTACAGGCAACACCATTCCGTGGATTTACAATTTGAGGGCAACGCATGTCTGAGTACAGCGACCCTGACAGCACCAGGATGGAACCAGCAGTGGAGTACAGATACTCTATGAGAGAGTATGACCGTATGATGTGGTTGCGGCTGAACTTCTTTGGACCCAATCCAGCTGAGAAACACGTGCAGTCCATGAGGAACCTAGTGTTCATGAATCTGCAACACCGGGCAGAAAGAGAAGGTCAGCTGGCACGTTGGGAAGAACTCCAGCGACAGGTACTGCAGGGAATTGGGAGCCCAGTCTCCATTCCCCAGCGGCAGTGTGATATGCAGGTATGCAGGGAATTGGGAGCCCAGTCTCCATTCCCCAGCGGCAGTGTGATATGCAGGGAATTGGGAGCCCAGTCTCCATTCCCCAGTGGCAGTGTGATATACAGGGAATTGGGAGCCCAGTCTCCATTCCCCAGCGGCAGAGTGAATTGCAGGGAATTGGGAGCCCAGTCTCCATTCCCCAGCGGGAGATATTGCAGGGAATTGGGAGCCTGAGCTCCATTCCCCAGCGGCAGGCTGAGTTACAGGGGACAGAAATAGTTGCTCCTGTCCCCCAGCAGCAGAATGAATTGCAGGGAATTGGGAGCCCAGTCTCCATTCCCCAGCGGGAGATATTGCAGGGAATTGGGAGCCCAGTCTCCATTCCCCAGCGGGAGAGTGAATTGCAGGGAATTGGGAGCCCAGTCTCCATTCCCCAGCGGGAGAAATTGCAGGGAATTGGGAGCCCGAGCTCCATTCCCCAGCGGGAGATATTGCAGGGAATTGGGAGCCCGAGCTCCATTCCCCAGCGGGAGATATTGCAGGGAATTGGGAGCCCAGTCTCCATTCCCCAGCGGCAGGCTGAGTTACAGGGGACAGAGATAGTTGCTCCTGTCCCCCAGCAGCAGAATGAATTGCAGGGAATTGGGAGCCCAGTCTCCATTCCCCAGCGGCAGTGTGATACGCAGGGAATAGGGAGCCCAGTCTCCATTCCCCAGCGGCAGAGTGTCCTACCGGGAATAGAGAGCCCAGTCTCCTTTCCCCAGCAGCAGGACACTGTATTGGGAGCGGAGACAGTCGGTCTCCCTCCACAGAGGAGGAAAGTAGGTATGGGAGAGGAGCTTGCTACCACCTCTCCCCAGCGGCAGATCATTAATGGGCAGGGAATAGAGAGCTCAGTCTCCTTTCCCCAGCGGCAGAGTGTTATATTGGGAGAGGAGCCTGTTACCCCCTCTCCCCAGCGACAGGGCTGTCTAGCCAAAGGGGAGACAGTCGGTCTCCCCCTCCAGCAGCAGAGATGGGTAACCAAAGGGGAGACGGTCGGTCTCCAGCAGCAGGACTGTGCATCTAAAGGGGAGACGGTCGGTCTCCAGCAGCAGGACTGTGCATCTAAAGGGGAGACAGTCAGTCTCCAGCAGCAGCAGCAGAGCGGTGTATTTAAAGGGGAGACAGTCGGTCTCCCCCTCCAACAACCAGGCTTCCACCAGGCTACCCTCCCAGTAGCGCTGGCAACAGGGCAGAGTGCCGCTGGTCTCTGCCCACGCAGCAACCCACCAAGGCAGCGTACCCGTACCCAGCACAGCCGTGGTGAGGCACCTGGACATGGACAAGCTTCTTCTCTACCCAGGTGTAGTAACCATTTATTGTGGGTGGGCTGTGCTGTTGATTATGTTTTGTGGGTGGGCTGCTGGACTAACAAGGGCACTGACCGGCAGGAGGTCAGATACCCTGTTAGTCTGTTTGGAAAAGGGGAGAGATGTGATGAAACCAATCTCGCCACATTGCATTGGAGGAGCCTGGTTGCCCGCCTGCTGCCTTTGGATTATGGACCGGCAGCTAAAGGGTTAATTTTACTGTGCAGAAGGATTTATTTCTCCCTTTCTGCACAGCCGTTCGGTAGATTCCATCTACCAAACAAACAGTCTCTTTTCAGCCTCCCCAGAGCCGTGGGAAGCCGGCCGGCGACCTTAATTGGCCACCCAGAAGCTGGAGTGCGCCCTCCATTTACCTCCCTGAAGCCGCGGTTAACCGCGGCTTAACGAGCGTGTGCCGGCAATTGACCACCCAGTAGCTGCGGTTAA